GCAGCGCGGCAGTGGGGAGGGGGAGCGGGGGGGAAGCGCCGTGGGAGCGGCGGGGAGGGGTTGTGAGATCGCGAAGGTCCCTGACCCTGCCCTCGGGATCGCTAAATAAATGCATAAATAAATAAATTCCTTGGCGAGCCATGTCAAACCAGCTTTAAGAATGGGAAGAGAATTGGGAATTTGGCAGATCGAAGGCGAAGACGAGTCGTTTTGAAAATGAGATAAATGAGGAGGGGTTTTAAATGGTGATGATAATACCTGCTGTGATAGCAAGGAAAGTGTGTACATTAAAGGTGTTTAATGAGACTTATGTGCAAATAACATAATTAGGGCAAGAGACTTGATGGAGAAGAGACCTCTGAGATCTTGAACAGAGGGGTTGGGTGGAAGGGTAGCCAAACAAGAGTGAGAGTGGGTAACCTGAGGCATCCGTGAGACCTCCGGGGCAGCTGGGTGTGGGAGGCTGAGCACGAAGGAGCCCGGGACTCTGCTGAGCTGAGCTCTGCACAAAGGGAAGGGCTGGATTCTGCCCCATGGCATGATGGCATCACTCCCTTCATGACAGGAGTGGCTGTGTGTAGCTGGCCTGGGATATTTAACGTTACTAAGCTCTGGATTTTGGCCATGGGTTGTTTGCCTGAGCAGTGTGTGGATCAGGAGCTCGATTAGGCTGGACTGGGAAAGCAAAGCATTGGGAGCTGGGTATTGGGGTGGAACTGGCAACACGCGTGTTCCGGTGGGTGAAGCTGCCATTACTGTCCACAGCAGAGTGTGGAAAGGCATAATAGGACAAGGGATACCAAAACACTGAAACAGAGATGTAAGGTTTAAAAATGTTTAAAAGAAAGTGACTTGAAAACAGGTTCCCTTAGAGCCCTGCAGAGAAGCATTAGGCTTCAATAGTAAACGAGTGGTAAATTAAAGACAACATTGGTGTAGGCTTCCACGTACTTCTCAGAAAGTGAGTATTTCTTGGGAAGAAGCAATGTATAATCACTCTGATTTTGGCCATTGGTTGTTAATTAGTATCTGCAAGCACTGCTGGTACTTCAGGCACGAGTACACATAACCACAGCCTGTCGTTCCAGTATTAAGATTTAAAGAAAATTTGCCTTTGAGTGGGTTTGTGTGTTCAACAGGTGGATCTGGGCCCCAAAATTACTGAGTTCCTGTGTTGCAAACCCAGTCACAGATGGGTGATTGGAGTCTGTGTGCTTTACCTGTATGTGCAGCTGGGACACCAGCACCCATCTGCTGTTGCCTTCCCAGGCAGGTGGGCTTGTCTGTGCTGCAGGCCAATATTACAGGAATTTAATCAGTCTTTCCTGTGACTTTAAGGGTTTGGGTTTTGGTGTTTTGTGGTGGGGTTTTTTTGTGTGTGGGGGGGGTTTGTTTGTTTGTTTGTTTTCATTAGTTCAGAGTGTTTATATTGACTGTGCATTACTACAGAGCAGTAAAACCAACAACTTTTTCATACATTGTAGATAACAATATCTTGGTGGAAGGGGAGTCTAGGGCAAATTTGGAGAAGGAGGAGTCTGGATGACCATTTTGTGGTGACTGGGTGGGAGCTGGGGATTTCTGCAGTTAACAATCAAGGAGAAAACCCCAAAACCAAAGGTAAACAGCATACTGTAAATACTGTGTGCAATGGTCCAGTGAACAAATGTACATAGGGTGTGAGTTAAGGTGGTTTGCACACCAGCTCTGCAGCTCCTGCACTGGCACAGTCCCCCCTTCCCCTTTTCCCCCACAGCTCTAACCTGTGCTGTAGCATCAACACAGTAAAAGTAAAATGCAACATTCAGGTGCTGCTGGGGGGTCAGGATTTTAAAAAAATCATAGTATCTGCAGATACTTGTGCTGGGGCTGACAAAGGGTTGCTTTGGTGTGGGCAGGACAGGAACCTCACTGGGAGGTTTTGCTGAGTTGTGAAGATGCAAACAAATGTATCGATTTTAAAAATTTAATGTACAGGTCTTGGCTGTGCTCCTGATTTTCCTTTATTCTGAAAGGCCCTGATGCTCTGTGTACTTGAAATGTTCTTTTTCACCTCCCGGAAATTCTCGGCTGCATGAACAAATACAATGAACACAAGAACGGTTAAGATCTGTCCTTGTCACACATAAACAGCCTCTTGCTTTTGATCGATCAGGATCTCATACTAACAAGATCTCACAGAGGGAAACTGGAACCGGAGGAGACCAGGGGGGCGGGGAGGGTTGTCAGAACTTGAGGCTCATTGGTGTAAATTGCTGCCGAAAGTCATTCCAGGAAGGTTTTCCAGGATGGTATTTTGAAATGCCTTCTGGCTTCTCCCACCGGCTTAGGGGGTAGTTGCTGACGGTGCCCTGGGGGCGGGAAGTCCGAAGAGCGGAGAGCTTTGATTTATTTTTATTTTTGATTATTTTAAATTTCTTTGCCGCTCTCTCCGTGCCCCTCACAGCTCCCAGACACGACCAAAACACAAGACCTTTCTGGCGCCGGTATTGACTTCACTGCAAGTCATTCGGCTGCAGCAGCCCCCTCTTCCCCCCGCCCACCCGAGCCCTCCCCATCCTGCTCTGGCGGGCTGGATGGGAGCTCGTCCGTGGCTGCAGGTGATCCCAGTGGGGACTGGCAGAGGAGAGGTCCTTCTACTCTCCAAAAATCCATGTTAATGTACCTTGTCTGCCAGGAGAAGCAGTAAAGACTTCCTCCCCAGTATTTTTTTTCTTG